TGGCGGTTACAGGCACTAACATTGCAACATTTTAGAACCTTACAACCTTTTCCCTCCCCAAAATTTGTTTTTATTAATTTCAGAGAGAGGAAGGGTGAGGGAGAGAGAGCTAGAACATCAGTTGGCTGCCTCCCTCCTGCACGCCCCCTACTGGGGATCAAGCCCGCAACCCAGGCATGTGCCCTGGCCGGAATCGAACCGTGACCTCCTGGTTCACAGGTCGGCTCACCCACTGAGCCACACCAGCCGGGGTAGGAACTTTACAACTTTTATATAATGAATGTGAAATGCTGTTATAACGGGGGGAAATTACCTTTAAAAATATCCGTGGCTTAGTGAGTATCGTTTCCTTTACTTCTCCCAGATTTGTCTTTTCATAAGAAATTCTTTGTGTTAAAGGGAAAAAAACGTTGACTCCATTCCCCGGCCGACATCGGAGCTCCCCTGCTGGGGTTCAAGTGGGTAATCTGCTTTCGTTTTAGTTGTTTCCCTGTCCGTCGGGTGTACTGCCTCCTGCAGTGTCCGTGTTGGTGGGAGAGGGCTCTGGGCTGGGCCATGCCGTGTGGCGCGTTAGAGGGCGTCGTGCGGGCTTATCTGCATGGCCTTCGCAGGGAGAAGAAATGGTTCCCTCCTCTGCCCCGTGCGGACTGTAGTGGGAGGAAACCCAGGATGTTGTCAGCTCACGCTGTCACTTCTGTAGACTGTTCTTGACAACTCAGAGTTATTGGTGTGGAAATGACATATATCAGGGGATCTAGAGATTCAACTTGAATCAATATTTATCGAGCACCAGTTTATCTTGGAAGAGGTGGGAGGGGTTCTGGGGCCTGGAAATACTTCTCGGGAAGGGCTGTGGTTCAGGGGCCATGGTGCTCCCCCACATCACTAGCGGCTCTGAGCATCCCCGGGGTCCCTTTCAGAAGTCCACTGCAATGGTGTGAGTCCAACTGTAGCAGTAAGTAAGAGCCAATGACTTTTTTTTTTAATGAGAGGGGACGCAGCGGCCTTTCCTTCTCTCCCGTGTCTGCTCCAGCGACTGGGCTCTTCACGTGGTGGGTCCCTCTCCATCCTCCTCCCACTGACCCTGGAGTTCTGAGAGCCTGCTGCTGCCAGCCCCGGCTTCCTGGGAGGGTGTGGGGACGTTGGGCGATCGATACGGCCAGATTTGAAATCTTTCATTTCTTTGATTTTCATAAAGGGATGCCAATGGGCCCGGGCATTTCCCCGACTTGATTCATGCCTAATGGACGCGGAGAGAGAGTTATTAGAAAACAAATGCTTTGGATATTTTTTTTTAATGATTTGGATCTTTTAAAAAATATATTTTTTTATTGATTTCAGAGAGGAAAGGAGAGGGAGAGAGAGAGAAAGAAACATCAATAATGAGAGAGAATCATTGATCAGCTGCCTCCTGTTCACCCCCGACTGGGATTGAGCCTGCAACCCGGGCATGTGCCCTGACCGGGAATTGAACCGGTGGCCTCTTGGTTCACAGGTCGATGCTCAACCACTGAGCCACACCGGCTGGGCCCAATGAATTTTTAACTGAATGGCCGACCGGGTAGCTTCGTGGACAGGCGATGGATGAATAGTCACCGGTGAATTAATGCGTGCTTGCATGAGTCCCAGAATAGCTGTCCCTGCGGCTGCCGCAGAAGCCGAAGCTCGTTGCTCAGACGGCCCCTCTCCCTGAGCTCGGATTAAAGTCGGGAAGCAGGCGCGCGGGCCTGCCTGGTCCCAGCACTGCTGTCATTATGAAACTTTTCAGGAACAGCCAGTCCTCGTGACCCCAGAAGCATCCTTCATCCCCGAGCGCTGCAGTGTCTGCGGTCCACTCCATCCCCCCCCCCGCCCCCCCGAAACGAGGGTACTGGAAGTCAGCTTATTTTGGGCCTCACCCCAGCAGTCCTGCCTCCATCAATGATTCATGCCCGGAAAGCATTTAAGTGCATTTGTTTTCTAATAACTCTCTCTCCGCGTCCATTAGGCATGAATCAAGTCGGGGAAATGGCCCGGGCCCATTGGCATCCCTTTATGAAAATCAAAGAAATGAAAGATTTCAAATCTGGCCGTATCGATCGCCCAACGTCCCCACACCCTCCCAGGAAGCCGGGGCTGGCAACAGGCTCTCAGAACTCCAGGGTCAGTGGGAGGAGGATGGAGAGGGACCAGTGCGCGAAGGGAGCCCAGTCGCTGGAGCAGACACGGGAGAGAAGGAGAAGCCGCTGCGTGTCCCCTCTCATTGGCCGCTCTGAGTGGACCCTCGGGCACCACCCGCTCAGTGGGCTCCACGGAGTGCTGCCTCCAAGCTCCACCCCCCAGGGGTGGGTGCCATGTGCCCGCCCATGGGTCAGAGGTCAGCATCTGCCCAGCAGGGCCTGTGGGTACCCTGACCACTCTGAACTCTCCCACCACCTCCAGGGGGCGGACTGTTGTCAGGGGCTCCTGGGACAGAGGAGGGGCTGTCAGGGGCTCCTGGGACAGAGGAGGGGCTGTCAGGGGCTCCTGGGACAGAGGCGGGGCTGTCAGGGGCTCCTGGGACAGAGGCGGGGCTGTCAGGGGCCTGCCTGAGGCCAGAGCTCCTACAGTATATGCCCGAGCGGGCCTCAGGCCCCTTCCCCACCCGATAGACCTATGGGGACAGCGACCTCCATGGGTTTCCCACCTTCACAGGTGTGTTGGAGCGGAGGGCCACCGCCCCGCGTGACAGTAATGGTGACGGAGAACATAGCAATGATTTTGATTCACGTCCACCCTGTCTCCTCCCGCACACGAAGGTCTCGCTCCCTGGACGCGCTCCTGGCAGCGGACATGTGGGCGCTTCCCCCTGGAAGGTGAATTGTCCTCGCAGCATCCCAGGTTCCGGTTCCGTGCTGGTGGGTTTGTGTCAGGACTTGAGAAAAGTTTTGGGAAGCTTCCACGCTTGAATGTAACTGAAACATTTCTTCCACCGAGCGTCTTATGAAATAGTTCATGCGCTCGTGGCTGGTGGAAATGCAGCAGCGGCGGGCTCCCCGAGACTGCAGACACGCACACTGAGGCAGCTCTCTGCACCCCGCGACCCCGAGACCCCGGGACCCAGGACTGTGGGGGAGCTGGCCTGGGTTGGGAGAGGGGGCAGTCTCCCCTGAAGGAGGGCGTGACGGGGAAGCAGGACAGTCGCTCGGGAACAGTGGGAAATGGGGCCGTGACCAAGGCCAAGCTCCCGTGAAGCCTGGCTGCCTCGGCGTCCGTGTCACCAACAGCGTAACAGTGGCCGGTGATGAGCTTGGGTCCCAGACGTCCACGCACCATTTGACCTTGGCATGTGACCTTGTCTGAACCTCAGTTTCCCCGTCTATGAAACAGGTAACCATCCTCCCCCCGTGGGGTCGGGCAGGTCATGAGGTCACGTGTGTAAATCACTCCGTGTCTGATCCGGCCGCATGGTGACTGTTCGGATCCCGTGGTGTCTAGCGCTTTCCATCCTGTAGATGCGGGAGCCGGCCCGGCCTTCAGAGCCTCCCGTCCAGTGCGCCCGCCCCCCCCCCCCTTCCTCCCGGCGGGGAAAGGGTGCGGCTGTCCCTGTGTCCGTCCGTTTTCCTCGGAGTTCTCCCTGCATGAGGCAGAATCGGGTTTTCTCTATACGCTGCTCAGAACCAACTCCTCCATAGAAACGCAGACGCCTCCGTTTTCCTCGTCCTGAAATTAGAGCGAGACGCAGGGTGGTGGCTAGAGGACAGAATGAAGAAGTCGAGTATAATTCAAGACTCGTGCGGAGTGGGGCTGCTTTAATGGAATCTTGTACTGTCCAGGGGCGTCGGACAGACGGCTGCTCCATAAAACGTGGAAATCAGCTAATGGCATACGGGCTCCAGCAAGGCCAGCGGAGGGCGATTTTTAACTGGGGACGACTCAGTTAGAGCTGGTCCCCGAGACGGTGAGGGCTGAGGACACGTCCTCCTGTTTGTTTGGGGCCGTGGTCATTCTGCCTTCCTTCCAGAACGCCAACACCAAAACGCACCCTGGCTGCCAGGGCTAAGGGCTAAGGGGCCTGCCTTTGTGGGGAAGGAAATGCCAAACCTCCAGAGAGGCTGGGAGGGCTTGTTAGGGGCCCAGCGGCGGGGCTGGTCCCAGGGCAAGCTCTCCAGGGGCTGAGCACGCGCTCAGCTTACTTCCTACCTGAGACTCCGAGGAGAGCGTGTGCCCAGAGCTGGGGAGACCCCCTGGTCCTCCAGATAACCGTGTGCTTGGAGCGTGACAGCGGGTGGGGGTGAACAGTGAAGGGTGCGCAGTGCACCCTAGCCCAGGGGCCTGGGGAGGTGGAGCCCCCAGGGTCACCCCGTGACCTCACCCAGAGCAGGTGTGAGCTCAGGGAGGTCTTGCCAGGAGGAGCTGAGAGCATGAGGTGAGAGCTGGGAGGTGAGGGGTGTTGGGGAGAGTGCTATTCAAGCAGAGATGGCAGCTGGGGGACCCCAGAGATGTGGACAGTGCTGTGAGCGCCCCACTGGCAAGAGGGGCTGGCAGGGCTGAGGGCAGGGAGCCCAGCGGCCGGGCCACTGCTCGGTGGTGGAGCTGTGGACCCGCCACGTGGCTCAGCCTCTTGGGGTCTCCGTCCCCTCCCAGGTGACAGCCGCGCCCACCGCTCAGGGTGTCAGGGCAGCTCAAGGGGCTCTGGTTCTGAAAGGCTGTGGCTGTGCCCACACTAAGACGCTAAACAAGGACAAGTCAGCTAACGCACAGGCATTTCATCACCAGAGTCTGTTTTTTAAGAGGCTTTTTTCTCTTTTTTTCTCCCCTTGACTATTACAGCACACAGCGCCCAGCAGGTGTGCTCAGTGGCTACACATGGACCCGGGAACCAGGAGTCCCTGGTTCGATTCCTGGTCAGGGCACATGCCGGGTTGCGGGCTCTCTCCCAGGAGGGGGTGCATCGATTACGGTTCTCTCCCCGGTTCCTCTCCCCTCCTTCCTAAGAATCCCTAAAAACGCGCCTTAGAACAGAAAAGCACATACAGCGCTCCTGACGTCTCCACTGGCTTGTCTCTAGACACTCCCGAGGCCCGGCCCTGCTCGCCTTCTGGGAGGACCCCGCGGGCCGGCTGTTCCGGCAGGCGCCTCCGCCATGGACCTCGTGGGGCTGCTGAAGTCGCAGTTCCTGTGCCACCTGGTCTTCTGCTACGTGTTCATCGCCTCGGGGCTCATCGTCAACGCCCTGCAGCTCTGCACGCTCGTGCTCTGGCCCATCGACAAGCAGCTCTTCCGCAGGCTCAACTGCCGGCTGTCCTACTGCGTCTCCAGCCGTAAGCGCTTGCTCCTCTCCCTGCCTCTCTCTCCTCTCTCTATCTCTCTCTGCGGCCGGCTGGGCGAATCGGGCTCTTACAGGCTCCCCATGCTCGCACTGGGCGCTATGCTACATATGTATTTGTTTCTGTTTGTTTGGATGTGGCTTGAAGTTGTCTATTTTGTCCTTGCTCTTAACATATTGGTTTTTGAATGAGTGACGCCAATAGCACGCCATGCAGCAGGCACAGAGGTACCCTACGAAGAGTCAAGGTGCGTTCTGTGTTTCTTTAGATTTCCTCCTCGGGAGGCATCGGTGTTGATGATTCCTTAGTTGTCCTCACAGAAATGCATGTATGTGGAAACACATGGGTCTTGTGTGTGTATGTGGGTGCAGGCGAGTGTCTGCTGTGTGTAGATAGATGATGCAAACACATATTTGAAAAGCGAAACAGCAATTTAATATATTGTTCTCTTTCTTGCTTCTTTTCTTTAATTTTATATTTTGAAACTAGAGGCCCGGTGCACGAAATTCATGCACAGATAGGGTCCCTAGGCCTGGCCAGCGAACAGGGCCGATCAGGGCCTTCCTTCCCCAGCTGCCAGCCAGCACTTCCTTCATTCCGCGCCACCCCCTGGTGGTCAGCGCACGTCATAGTGAGCGATCGAATTCCCGGTCTCCAGGTCAAACTCCCAAGGGGACACTTTGCATATTAGCCTTTTATATATATAGATGATTGTAGATTTTCACGCAGTTGTAAGAAATAATATTGAGAGATCCTGTGTGCCCTTCAGCCACTTTCCCCGATGATAACGTCTTCAATACCACAGTATAGTATCCCAACAAGAAAATTAGCAGTGACACAATCCACCAACTATATTCAGATTTCCCCTGTTTTATATGCATATGCATTCATGTGTGTGTGTGTGTGCGTGTGTGTGTGTGTGTGTGTGCGTGCGCGCGCATGCTCGTGCTTGATTATACTGGACTATTAAAACATGACTAATTCAAGTAGCCTGAACTTCAAAAATGAACATGAAAAAGACAGATCAGAATAATGGGGAGTCAAGCGATGGGTTTTATAGTTGAGGGACCTTAAATCTTTACCTGTTCTCCACAGTAGAAAATGCAGTGCCTCGGTAGCATCTATATATATGGGTGTGTATGTATTTGAAAATATGAGCTATTTCAAATTAAGCCATTTAACAATCTCTGCAACCTTAGATTATGCCAAGAATTGCTGTCATTCTGAAACCCTTTAGATCAGTGGTTCTCAACCTTCTGGCCCTTTAAATACAGTTCCTCATGTTGTGACCCAACCATAACATTATTTTCGTTGCTACTTCATAACTGTCATGTTGCTACTGTTATGAATCGTCATGTAAATATCTGATATGCAGGATGGTCTTAGGCGACCCCTGTGAAAGGGTCGTTCGACCGCCAAAGGGGTCGCGACCCACAGGTTGAGAACCGCTGCTTTAGATGAAGCAATCCAATCTGTATTTGAATCAAGACAATAAAAGCTGTGTACGGTTGTCCAGATGGATTAATATGGATCCAATCCATTATTTTTGAACCTCAAAACGCTCACTTGTGAAGGGAAAGAATGATAGGAACATCCTTATTCTTTTTAAAAATATTTATTTTTATTGATTTCAGAGAGGAAGGGAGAGGGAGAGAGTGATAAAAACATCAATGATGAAAGAGGATGTCCTAGCCGACTTGGCTCAGTGGATAGAGCATCGGCCTGTGGACTGAAGGGTCCTGGTTCGATTCTGGCCAAAGGCATGTGCCCAGGTTGTGGGCTCGATCCCCAGAGGGCGGTGTGCAGGAGGCAGCCAACCAATGATTCTCTCTCATCATTAATGTTTCTCTCTGTCTTTCTCCCTCTGCCTTCCTCTCTGAAATCAATAAAAATATAACAAAAAAAATCACCCATTCGGTCCCAGGTCCCTGTCCCGGGCTTCCCTCTGCCATGGCCTCCGGTACTCAGGTGTCTGCCGCGGAGTAGAAAAGGGACGGCCCGTCAGAGCAGGGCCGAGGCGGCGACAGCTGCTCCCGAATTGTCCCCGAGCGGGAAGGGTTGGCATAATCAGGAGGAGGAGGCGGTTGTCTCTCACCTTGTAATTTCAGTGTCTCCTCGCGCTCCGGCTGTAGGCGTCTATTTAAACGAAGGTAAACCCACAAAGCCGAGCTGACTGCACTGTCACTGAAACCTGCACTCATGCCATGCCACGCCCCTCGAAGACTCCCAATCCGCCGTTTGAAAGGCTCTTTGCACTGTCACAGCCCCTCCAGATCTCAAACGCGTGGTTAAAAGTCGGGGTCCTATCTGTAGTCAGGCCGCAAGAGGCGGGGTTCCGGCCGGGAGTGCCCGCGTGTGAGCTGTGCTGTGCTTCGGGGAGGGAGTGGGCACACACCAGGCCACCCCCAGGACACCAGGCAGGGCATGTCCATGCGGGCGCGCACGTACAATGCGATTGAAACTTCGTGGCCCATGCGCAAAGGCCGGTATTTTGTGGAAGAGCCACACCCAAGGGGCCAAAGAGCCACGGTTTGCCGAGCCACAATTTGCCGACCACTGCCCTGGGGAAAGGCACGTGGTAGAAGTGGGGGTGATGCATCCGGGGCTGACGTAGGGGCGCCTCACTGCAATGAGTCCCTCCCATTGGGAGCTCGCCCCCCGCTTTCCCGGGTCCTCCCTTGCGGGTGCCCCAGCCTGTGTGAGACGGCGGGACCCTCTCCCCCCTCTCTCTTCTCTCTCTGTGTCCCCGGAGCGTCCCATAACGACCACGAGACCCACTGGGTGGGAAGCAGGGCTGGGCGCTGACCGTCATGAGATGCGAGTGGTGAGCCGGGAGTCCGAGTGGCGGCCCTTCTGTTGCTCCCCCTCTCCGCCTCCCTCCAAGTTCAGATGAAAACTCCGCTGGGGTCTGTCTTCCGGGGTCTGAACGGTGCGAACACTGGACAGTCAGCAGCGCTCATCGTCTGCAGCCGATGTTCTCAGGAGCGAGGCCGAGTAGACCTCCTGGAGACGCGGCCCCGCACACCCGGGCCCTCGGAGCCGGGTCAGCATCCTTCCGCGCCAGATGTTTGTGAGGAGCCTGGTGCTGCGCCAGGTGGGTCCGAGGCCGCCGCCCGCCCCGGGGGTGGAAAACAGACCCAGGGCCTTGAGGACAGCGTGGTTCCAGCAGGATGCCGAGCAGGGAGCGCTTTTCGTTTAAAGGCGAGACCCCGAACATGAACGGCAATGTGAAAGCACATTCGATCCGGACGGCTAGGTGGTTGAAGGGCTGCTTCATTCCATCCTGCCTGGACGTGTGGGCAGAAAGGCTGGCAGGCTGGCTCAGCACGAAGGAGGCGGCAGGGCAGCGAGCCTCGGCAGGGGAGGAGGAGGGAGGAGGAGGGAGGAGGAGGAAGGCGGGCACAGAGGCCTGGGGAGGAGTCCATTACCTCTCCCTGGGGCAGAGGTGCTTTCTAATCTCTAGGGAAAGGCGGCAGGACTGGCCTGACTGTTCCCCTTCCCCTCTGACACTGTGGGCTTAAAAAAATATCGGCCCAGCCAGCATGGCTCAGTGGTTAAGCATTGACCTATGAACCAGGAGGTCATGGTCTGATTCCTGGTCAGGGCACATGTCCAGGTTGTGGGCTCGATCCCCAGTGGGAGGCCTGCAGGAGGCAGCCGATCAATGATTCTCTCTTATCGTTGATGTTTCTCTCTCTCTCCCTCTCCCTTCTTCTGTGAAATCAATTTATATATATATAAAATATATGTAAAATACCAGAAAGATTAGCAGTGATTTAATTAGAATCTGGCATTTGCTTTGCCGGCCTCTTCCACACAAAGCTTGTTACAAATTCACCCTTTGGCCCAGCCAGTGTGGCTCAGTGGTTGAGCGTCAATCTATGAACCAGGAGGTCATGGGTTCGACTCCTGGTCAGGGCTTGATCCCCATAGGAGATGTGCAGGTGGCAGCCAGTCAACGATTCTCTCTCATTGATGTTTATCTCTCTATCTCCCTCTCCCTTCCTCTCTGAAATCAATAAAAATATATATATTTAAAACACATACACACACAAATACCCAAAAAACAAATTGGCCCTTTGTGCCCACACTTTGTTGTGTATTTAGGGGATAAGAGTCCTGGGATTGAGGTCTGACACATCGGTGTGATTCGCTCCGCTCGCTCATCCAGAGATGTGAGGCCGGTGGCTGGCGGGCCTGGGGGTGGGAAGCACGTTCATGTCCACGCGGCCTCATCAATTGCAGCTGATTCAGTGAGAGCGACAGGTGAGGGCGCTGGGCCTTGTAAACGTTTGTGACAAGAGCAACAGGTGTGGCACAACCTGCTTGTTTATTGTGAATAAGAACCGGTTTGTGCTTCTTAAATCCCTCTGTATATACATATGCAAGTAAATGCTTGACTCATAGTCGAAGGTATATGTGGGATCCTTCATACAAGGAAGGGCCTTATCTATCCTCCATGCAAGGGAGCTTAACCACTCAGCTTCAAGTGCTGTGGGCGCAGCGACGCCGCAGTGGGCTTAGGGAACGCTGTCTGAGGGGGACCTGCCTTGCACAGGGCATCTTAGCTGTTGGCAAGGTTTATAAATAAATTACTTCTCAGCCAAGGTGCCCATTTGTTTTTTTAAGCATTAAATTTCATCTGTGACTTGAGTTACGACTTTCAAGTCAGGTTATGAGTTTGACTTTGGTGTCTTGTGACTTCCTAAGACAATTGTGTGCGGTCTTCAGAGCCGGGGGGTGGGGGGGGGGGGCTGTCCCCAGGAGGCAAACGAGAGGGGCCGTTAGGGTATCGGAAGGTGAGGTTCTCATTTATGTTCCCTTTATCACACAGATGGTACGATAAAGGACACCGGATATAGTTTATAAGTTACATAAAACAAATTTTTACGTGTGCAAAATTTGCATGTGCTAAAGGTGCATATTTTATTTTTTTTATTTAAATAATCAAAAAACATTTGGGCCCTGGCCGGGTAGCCCAGTTGGTTAGAGCA